ATACATTTTGTAAATGATTTTTTACTTTTTTATATGATTACTATCACGTTTAGTAGTATTAGCACATTGTCTCTATAATATAACCAAAAAGAAATTCAGATCTATAATAATAATAATAAAAAATGTTGTTGATATACTGAATGATATTCCAAATCATGTATATTAATTTGTTTATCACAGTATTCACATGGAATAAGTTCTATTATTGAATCATCATGAATACCACTAAAATATGAATTATATAATTCGTTATATTCTAATTAATATTCGTACTCTTTTAATTTTTCAATTCGTTTTCCATGTTCATCAATACATTGTCTCTACAATATGATTGATATAATTAAAATACTATTGAAATATAATATTATTAATTTACTAAATGAGATTGCCAGTCATTGACACTTATTTCAGCATTACAGTATTCGCATGGAATACCACTTGTATTAGATTCATTCATGATATTTCTAGAAAACTGAATAAATAATAGATTCATACACAATATTTTTACCTGTCTGACTCTTGAATTGGACTCTTTTCACCATAAACACATTCTCTCTACAATAGAATAAAAAATCATAGAGATATGTTCAACGACGAAGCTTTATCAACGTACTGAATGTTGTGACCAATCGTCAAAGCTAACTTGTGTATTGCAATTTTCACAATGGATGGCATTTTCCTCTATTGCCTCAGCCATGTATCAATTTAATTAATACAATTGAGATCTGAAAAATATTTGAATATTTCTTTTATTTTTAATCTGCACTATCCTTGATAATTGTGTCTATCAGTGAAACATTCTTACCAGAAGTGCGGCTACATGAATAACATATATTTTGGCCGATCGATCAGGTCATGACCGCTATATCATCGTGATGCCCTCCATCTGACCTTCTCTTCTATCATGCCTATTACCATTATCTTCTCGTTTCGATTTATTATAATCTCTACTCGCTTGCATTCTCGCTCTCCTTCCTACATAAGCGTGTGCCTATCTCAGAAGGATACTACTAAAATGATGATATCAAAATTTCTATCAAGAATGACGATAGTGGTACTCTTCCATTTCATCATTTTGTATTTTCATGAAATAAAGATAGTTTTACTAATGAAAAAGTTCACCTAAATTTCATTACAACAATAATAATCTAACTAATCATCGATGTAAAATAGAAACGTAGATGCGATAGACAAAGACAAGACAGTACACAGTCGACAGCTTCACCGAACGAGTATCTACACCTGATAAGAAAACAAAAACGTCTGTGATATATGACAAGTGACTCTTTGTTTTTAGTCAAAACTTGTGAGAATCATAATGCGATTCGAAAATGAAATTCTTTTTACATTAGCTTCTAACTCATTTTTTTAAATGTTAAATGTTAGATATTACTTCTTATAGAAATCGAAAAAAATAATGATTAGAGAAAGAAGCTTTTCACCATTATTAAGAACAAAATTTGTTGAAACCATTAGAAAATTATATGAAAAGTATAGTATAAAGTCTATCATGTGCTTTTAAAGTCAACAAGAACGAAAAACATTCAAAAATCCATCATACAGACAAAAAACAAGCCATGCAACGATTTTCCATAGGGTATACTTATTTAGCAATTATATTAATATTCATCTTCATTAATCGGATAGAAACTAAAAACTAATAAATTTTATGTCTGACAAATAAAGTCAAATTTTTATACGCACTTAACCAGAATGTAAGAAACAACACAAAATAATGTCCAGAAGTTTTTAACATAAACTATTGCATCAGCATAAAAAAGAAAGAAAAAAAAGGAGAACCGTGCTTTTAGTAAAAATATATGAGTCACGGTAACGTACAAATGACGAATTTGGTTGGTAGACATTAAGCATCAGTTATGAAATTTCTGATGACGAAAGTACTTCCCTGTCACATTATATCTGTATGAGGCAATATGAAGCATTTTCATATCGAACGTTAAGTAAAATGTAATATTATTGCAATATATCCCGAAACGATGAATACATGTTTAGTTTAGAATTTTGTATTTACTGAAATGCTAATCTGGGTTTCGTAATCGTAACAGCTTCTGTCCCATTGTCAACTCATTGATCATGTTTTTGAAATTGAAGTCCATTATATTGTGTAGTTTTTCTATAGAAAGAATCAACTTATAAATAATTTCAATGCTATACATCAACCTAAACATATAAGTTAATGAAAATTGTAAAAACAAAAATATGATTTTCTTAGGAGTACAGTTCCAATAACTAATAGTTCACAAAATCAAAGCGCATTGAAAGGCAGATATGTTGGTATAATACAGAATTAAAATCAATATTTTTTTGTCTATAGAGTTATGAATTCTGTTGTGAATGTACTGACGAGGAATGTTCTCTAACTGTTCAATCGCTTTTGAATCAAGACTATGTGCATTATGTTGATCCTAATGAGTTATGGATACCCTGAAAAGAGTTCATAACCTTAGCTTATTACTACGGAGTCATTGCACTTTTATAATATTTTTTAAATAAATGTCGCAATCCCCCCTCAGAAGCATCAAAAAAACTGATTTCCGAAATTCGACTTGAAACTTTGTAGAGAGACAACCCTTAACGAGATTAATTTTAGGTTTTTTGGTTTGCTTCCATCCTAAAATAAGAACATCAAATCTGTCAGTTTATATGACTGATATAAAAGATGCACTATTAGCATAGTTGTATCTTGGGATAAGAAGAACGACAAGACCTAAAGCATTCACAAAAACTATTCTCGTTAAGGCCTGTCACTATGCACAGTTTCAAGTCGAAATTAGAAGATCAGGTTTTCTGATGTTTTTGAGGGAGATCACGTTATTTATTTAAAAAATATCATAAAAATGCAGTATCTACGTAGCAATAAACTAAGGGCAAGAACTCTTCTCAGTGTATTCATAGTTCACTTACAGTGTTGCTCAAAAGTCTGGTACCACTTTTTTGTTTTGAGTTGTGTATTAAAATTACACAACATTAATGTAAGTCAATTATATATTTGGATAGTAGAGATCGAGTATTATATATATATACCTGTTCAATCCGAAAGACTCTTGAATTTGAAAATATAATATGAACAACAAACTTCAGTACTAAGAAAAAAATGACAAAAAAAAGCTACACAATGGTAATTAAAATGTTTGGAAGCCTTTTTGTAGTGCAATAGGAATTTGTTTATACGACTTTTATAGAGCTTTCGACAGCGTATCTTTTTAAAAAAAAATCAAGATGCTATCATTTCCTTAATCCGAGATATATGCAAACTATAGAAGTCTTCCACACATTTTATTATGTCAAATACGGTGGGAAGTAGCATCATCATATATTTTCTTTTCATTTTGAGTATGGAAGAAACCATCAAAAGAAGTCAATAGGATTTTGTTCTTACAGTTTTGTAGAGCTTTTCACGGCGCATCTTTTGAAAGAAAAACCAAGATTTTATCATTTGTCTGTGCAGAGATATTTGCAAAACAAACTATGTTACAAACATTTTGGAGCACCCTGTACTTCACAGTATTCAATATTTTCCCTATAATACCGCCATTTCTCAATGAAATTCAAAATGTTTTTTTACCCAAATAATCAACGTAAAAAGTTCTATAAAGTCGAATAAAATGAAAAGTTTTCTTAATACTTTGTATTTGTCGCGGTTGACTGTTCATGGAAGTATCCTACAGCAACAATATAATTTTGTAGTTTTTCATGTCATTTTTTCTTAGTACTGAAGTTTGTTGTTCATATTATATTTTCATATTCAAGAGTTTTTCGAAATGAACAGATTTATATATATAGTACTCGATTTCTACTATCCAAATATATAATTGATTTAAATTAATGCTGTGTAGTTTTAATACACGACTCAAAACAAAAAAGTGATACCAGACTTTTGAGCAGCACTGTAGATCAATATAATACGCACAGTCTTGATTCAAAAGCGATTGAAGAATTGAAAAATTTTCCTCATGAGTCCAAGGTATCTTGCAAACAGAATGTAATAAGAACCTTTAGGTATGTTATGAGTTTTTAGCACTTGGCTATAAAATGTTTCTGATTATCCAATCTAATAACTTGTTGAAAAATTTTCCATGAAATGCTATAAAAACTAGGCAGGTACCTGGTAAATACTCGGATATTAAGGCTATTCTCAGCAGAGTATTCAAAAAGATATCTTGATGACAATTGATCATGTACACGAGTACTTTGAACTCAGCACATTCACTGGAATAATTTTCCAAACTCTGTGAATATGAATAATAAAAGAAGATTTTGTGATCAATTGAAAGTAGATCAAAAATGATTCAATATGACAAATAATGATTGTAATTCGAACTGTAAGAAATGAAATATTGTTTAAAAATTCAGTAAGACATAGTACACGTGAAAAATGTGAATCAATACTAAGTATGACGTTATAAATTGTGCATTCATAGTTTGATTCATGTCTTAGTCATTTAATCATCTCTGCTAGATAGCTGCAAACCTGATGTTGCTTTGTTGCGTACTGCTTCGTTCTAATAGGAAAGGCTTAACATGAGAATTATTATGAAAATAACCGTACTGGTGTAGGCGAAATTGACAGCTTCCTTCTTTCAACTTAATATTCATAATATTTTTCTGGAAACTTTATTCTAAAAGAGAACAAATAACGACTATAGTGTATTGTAGTTATGCCATTTCGTCATTGCTCGTTTCCTGAATTGCTATACATATAAATTCATTATTCATATCGATTCCAGCTAGTGTCTCACTCTATTTATAAACAATATGTAGATTTTTCAATTCCAGTTTGTCTCTTCTAGATCACAAACAGTATTGTTGTTACGATAGGTTGATGATATATGAACAACTTTCTTCTGCTGAATGCAAAAAAAAAACAGCACATCCTGAAAAAGAGAAATCAAATGTCAGATGCAGTAGAAGAGAGTTATAGTTAGTAGAGTATGTTTTAATTGATACAAAGCATTACAAAAAAAAGGAATATTTAAACGCTTCTAGCCTTCATGTTTCTATCAGGAAGATTGTGTTGACGTGTTATTACATCAATAACAGTTAAGGAATTAATATTATTTTATAGAAAAAAATCTTCAATTGTTGTTCACGTTTGATTTTTTTGTTTGTTTTGTAAAACCTAATTTTTGCATCTTTATATGATTAGATTACTTTCAAAGGTAGAAAATGAAAAATATTTTATAAAATCAAATTGTATGAGAACAATATTCTTTTTCTTTTGATGTAGAAATGAATAATAAGAATAAATGAACAAACAATAGACAGACACACAGACACAGAAATAGAATACTGTTCAAGATAATTGAGTATTATTTAGATTGATTGAAGCCAATGGACTTCGATGAATTGTCGATGAACTTTCATTTGTTTGTATTCTTGATGATTGAAACATTATTTGTTTGTATAATTGTAGTGACGATGAAGATAATACAATAGAATTCTTCATAGATGATGTCAATTTATTCATATGTTCATTCCATTGATTATATGAAAGTAATTGTTGTAATTCTCGAATATAAGCAATAACAAATTCAATAAATTCAAGTTCAGATATACATCGATCTTTTGGTATTGTTGGTACAAGTAAAGCAAGTTTTTGAAATTCTTGTCCTAATTCATAATAATTATCATCTAAATTTGTAATTGTAATCATTGTCATAATATAGTAAATCTGTAATAGAAAAAAAAAACAAAATCACAAATAAATAATAATCACCTTTCTATTCTTTACTCAAGCTATAACAACATTTAACACAATCTCATTTATTTATGTCGTAAAAGAAACATATACACTATACTATCTAATATGTTATTATTATTATTATTATTATTCTTTTCTTCTTATACATCCATCATTGGTAACAAAAAAAAAAAACGTTTATCTTACGTAAAACACTCAACAACAATGAAGATATCGATCTTCTACCAACATGATTGTGACAAAATATGATCTTCTCCTTCTTTCTTTGTTCTTGAACATCATTAACGCCATCTGTTATTTTACAGCTGCAAACATACGATTAATGCAGATGTAACGAAAATAAAAAGGACAGGTATCTGGTCTGTTGTCTATCTTGAGTATAGACAAATACACAATGAAGCAGCTGCACGAAAGATTACCAAGTATGAATCAAACAAAACGATTTGCTTTAGCTATGCATTACATACATACATAGAAAAAGGTTAGACATGCCAGCTTTTTGATGATCATCAACGACAACTCCATCAATCACATTTTCACTTGTAGAAAGAAAAAAATTATCTTGACTATGTTTATGTATATAAAATAGAAGAAAAAAGAAAGACATCTGTTTCAGAGATGAATTGAAGTAAGACGATAATTTGAAGATTTGGCGCAAATCAAATAGTAAACATAGAGAACATATGTGGTTTTTTTTTTGTTTTTTAAGAGACCATTTGTTTCTGTTTGGGAAATAAGTAGACAAAATTGTATGACTATTTCTAAATCAAATTGACATGCTTATTACCAGCTGTTGACGAAAGACAAGCAAGATAATTATAAACGATTTAGCTTATGTATATCATGTTCGTCTGTCGGCATCAGTATGTCAAGATGGAAGATGATAGGTTATTTTTATATAGGATGAGTTGAACAGCTGTACACATGAATTAAGTATTGTCATAGTTATTTAATTAGTTATATATATTTAAATAGAATACAAACGAACAAAATTAACATACTATCTTGATTTATAGAACAATCGTCACAAATGAATTGTGTTTGATAGTTTGAAATAATGATGGTTATATATCATATACGACACTCAAAGCTATAAAGATATATGTAAACACAATACTTGTGCCTGTTAACTTCTTCTTTTTTTATTCTTCCTCTTTTTCTTTTCTTTTCTTTTAACAGTTGAGTTTTTTTGTTTGTGATTTTTTTCTCTTTCCGTATATGAAAGACTAATTCTTTTATCAGTTTCTTTTTGAGAGATGTATAATGATCGCCGCAGGTATTCTGCACCTGTATTAAACTCTCAACAATAATAAACAAACAAATGGAATAGATAAGAAAGTATGGAAAAAAGTCACACATATACAGATGAATAGTTCCATACAAAAGATTGTCTATATATTTAACGCAAATGTGATTATTGATTTTTCCTTTCATTAGTTATATGTGTACACAACACATATAGATGATTGATTTCTAATTCAATCATATGCAAATATATATACCTTTCAATCGTCTATTTTAAAATAAAAAAAGAGAATAAATGTGAAAGAAAAGCATTCAAATATTGGAATTCATATTTATTTTATTGTTATTGATCACACTAACATTTTATTAACTAATCGAATATTCATACTTTGATCTTTTCAAATGATTGATTTTGTTGATTGTTTTCATAATGTACATGAATGAAACCGGTCACGTGATGTGAACTTGTCTTAGTATATTATTTATGCCTCATGGGAATCAACGAAAAATATAATCTCGATTTTTATATAATGATCTATATATTAAATTTCTGAAAAAGAAAAGACTAGAAAATACAAGATCTTAAAATTGTGAAATCAAAAAGACTTGATTTTGCCACTATTGTTATTTGTGCTATCAACAGTTATTGACAATGAAGAATGACATTAAAAATATCATTTAAAATAAATACAAACATGTACATAATATTGAAAAGAATTTCTTTTAAATATTAATATTAATTTAAAATTGATCTAAATTATTCTATAAAAAATAAGATGACTTTTACAAATGAAATTTTACCTTGTTAGATATACAGTAGTGAACGCAAGTCTTTCACCCCGCTATCTCGGCTACTATACACGCTGAAGATCTGAAAGTTTGTGTGCATATATTCCACTAATAATTTAGTTCAGAAGCACGAGGTTGACCCCAATCGAGGTAAGCTCGTGTCTTAGACCGATATTCTTAGTGGGATATATGCACACAAATTTTTCGAGCTATAACATGTATGCTAATCAAGATACGGGAAATGGAAGACTTTTGTTCACTATTGTAGTTTATCAGTATGATTTACATTTACTGACAAATTATTCGAATAATTATATATCTCATCAGTAATGGATGGTTCTCACTTTTATTATATGTTTTTTTTTTAATCAGAATTAGCAATTTAAATCATTATTGAAAATTTAGAAATGTTAATATGATAGATTGTTGAAAATGTTTTTCGGTTTTAATCGAATTTCGATCATAGTTAGTCATGAAGTTTTATTAAAAGTTGATCAATTAAGAATGTTGTTTTTTCTTTTTCACAAGGAAAGTACTGCAACTAATTCTGAGCTGTCGACTTGATCTTTTGAAGATAAATAAATTTCAATGAGACTCACCAAAAACCTATAAATACTACTGCTTACTAATAATTTTTTTCTTTTTCTCAAACAATCGAATACGTATATATTCAAAATGTGTCTACGTCGGCATATAAACGTTACTATTTTAATAGACATAGTTATATTGAAGTATTTTGTTTAAAGTTTACTATCGCTGGTCCAAAGTTTGAAGAAAGATATGTTTGAACAAACCAAACTCTATTTTATTGTTGTCATAATTCATGACCTAATAAAGATCTATAGACAGATTCAAAATATTGACGGAAAATTAGGAATTTTATGTTAAAAAATATCATAATAACTTGCATTCTTTTGTTGGTAATCGTTTAACATGAACTGATTGATTCTTTAATAATTTAAGGAGACAATAGTCTTCAATTAAATACAAACTCTTTGAACAATCACTTATGATTTTAATAGCATCGTCGAGACATGTAAAAAAAAACCAAAAATTTCAGAACATCATAAGAATGGACCAGAAACAGCATATTAAAGAACAAAAATCAAATCGATGAACAATTATAGATATTCTTTTTTGTGTTATTCTGATAATGAACGCAATTTGTCGGATTCTACAGTAGTTTCTCCAAAGATCCTATTTCACTATACGTAATAATTTGAAAAAAAATAATCTTATCCTAGCCTAATGATGCACAGGACTAAAGCTACTGAAGAGTAACCTTGCAATTATATAGTATCTTTAAAATTATTCACGAAATTGTTGTACATTACGAAATGTTTGCAATCTATTCATGTACAATAGTTTGCAAACAGTACTTGACCCAAGGGGAAAAGGGCTATTTTTTTGACTTTCTATCGATTTTGAATAAAAATAATCACTTATTCAAAACGAGTTGATTTTCAACATTCTCTGTCTTGATTTTAAGTATGTTCTTACAATTTAAGCCTATAGGCAGTATCTAGTTGTTAAAAGAGGATGATTCGTACGTTTAGAGGATGGGATTTACTATGATAATTACAAAAAAGTAATGTTTTTGATTTTTGCGATTAAATTATTTGTTTTTTGGTTTGAAGTTGATAGAAAATTTAAAAAAATCAAATGTTTACCCTCGATTTCTAATCAACAAAAAACCTAACTTCAGTTCTTTCTTCCTTGCAGCAACCGCAGTCGTAAGAACAAGAACTGTTCGCTTGTAGAAAACTATTTACATCTTTGCATTTCGTATAAAACAAAAGAAAGTATACGATGACCGTTCGTTTTGGTACATAGTATATCGTTTCTCACTATTTGTCCTACACAATTCGTCCCAATTACGTACATGCTGTTCCAATGACATTTCCTTTCCTTGTATTTAGTACCAAATTGGGACTATTCGTTTCCAGTATGGCAACCTAAGATAAACTTTATTTAACTAAATTTAAATACTTATTCTCAAGTTCATATCAATTCAAGTTAAATGTTCCTCAGTATTTTTGACCACATAAGACATCAAGATTCGCATAAACTTTTTTCTTTTTCTTTGGTTATTCACCTACACCAAATCGTTCAATATCGATCTCGACTCTACATTGTTCACGTAAGATATATTAAGTAAGTATAGTGGTAGAAGGACTTTTAATTGATACGCGATTGTTGAATGTATGATACCATCGTTCGATGGCATGACTCGATTACAGCAAATATTGCATAATCTACTTGTAGAGCTTCCAGAACTACAAGCTAAATTATGGTTCACTTACTTCTACAATTTCGATGGTCACAATGAAATATACGTTTTTCTTCTGTTGTTTGATGTTGAATGTGAAAATATGTCCCAAAACTATATCATTGAGTTTTCTCGAGAATTCTTTAGCGCCTCAATCGTATTCTTTTCTTTAGACTTTTGCACGAAACTATACAAGATGACAACAACTACAAATATACTTGATCCAGAATAAAAACAAGAATCGATCTCGATAAATGTGTAGAAAGGGCAAGGACCTCTATTCATTTTTCACTAGTCTTATTAACTTGCAACGATTGACTTGACACAACAACAAGTATTTATACACAACACCTAATTTTGAATAACTATAGAGATTGATTTTTGTAAAGTTATGACATGAAAAATGGATCGGACGAAAGAAAATTAGAACAAGTTGTAACGAGACAAAATGTATTTGCAACGAAATCTCAAAGGACAGAATGTAACGCCACAAAAAGTAGGGAACAAACTGTCCGGGTACTGAGTATACTTTGTGATTATACATGTAATGTTATACGAACATATAACTGCCCGCATCTGAACTAACCAACAAGATCAACTAGCAATGTTCTCATAATCTATAGCTATTTGATAGTTTCCTAATCAGAAC